TTCCCTTTTCAAGGAAACAGTCTGTTTTAAAGTTTATTTATTTATTTTGAGAGAGAGAGCAGGGGGAGGAGCAGAGAGAGAAAATCCCAAGCAGGCTCCATGCTGAGCCCCGACACGGGCTTGATCCCACAAACGATGAGACCATGACCTGAGCCGAAATCAAGAGTTGGATGCTTAACCAACTGAGCCACCCAGTGAACAGTCCCTCCAAGTGAACAGTCTTCATCTCAACAGCCAAGTTCTGCAATGACAAATCTGTCCACAGTCTCTCTAAATTCTTCTCTAACTCAAGAATATTTTTTTCCAATGGACAAAGAGACAGAAGGGAGGCAATGAGCAACCACAGAAAGAGATGGCTTTAGTACAAACATTAATTTGGCTTCAACAAATTCTACTTCCCCTCACCGCCCACCCCCCACCACATTCCTATCTGATGGAGGAGCACATATAACTTGGTTTGTCCTCTGTCAGTCAGCCCTTAGGATCCTTGCCCAAATGCTCTCACTTCCCTCTCTCTTGCCCATCACCCACAAAAATGCAACACTCACATCTTTTACATTCTTCTTACAGAAGTGAAGACATTCTGAAACTTCTCAGACTCAGGCCACAGGCACCATGGATAAATACTCTCATCCATTCCTTCCAGTTACCTGCTCTTGGCTGCCAACAGGTATCTCCAAGATGCCAAGAGGATATCAGACTTTGCAAAACATGGGGTCTAGGAGGAAGCCTGGGGTGGTTTTTTAAGGGGGTTGAGACAACTGGAAGAAAGACGGCCCCTACATAGGAATCTCTCAGTAGTATACTTCTCTTTGACGATACTGACACACTCAAAACAGAAAGTAAAATAAGATAAGGAAAGAAAACTTTGACCTGTCATGTATAGTAAATCTATCTAATGATTACTTGCTTATAAAATATAGACAGGATCAAAAGCAAGTCATTTCTTTCTTTCTGAGAAGTATATTGTCTAGGTTAATAGCATAGATACTAGAACTTGACTACCTGAGTTAAGATCCTGGTGAGGCTATTTACAACTTACGATTTTAAGCAAGTTACACAACCTATCTGTGCCTCAGTTTCCTCATGTGACAATGGGTTGGATAATAGTATGTACCCTATTTTGGGTGAGGAGTACACAAGTGTATGTAAAGCACTTAGAAGAGTGTCAATAACTTATAGATTATGTGTAAGTTGTTAGCAATTTTTATTTTAATGTCTTGCTCATTCACCACAATATGTCTGCCATTCTGATGAGAATTTTGGACTCCCTCATTTCATTAGGCAGGGAACTGAGAAGACATGGGCACATTCATACTCTCTAACTCATCTCCCAGACAGAAATTTTCTCCACTAACATCCAGATTTTATCCATCTCAACAAGGATAAAAGAAAAACAGTATTAAAATTTCCCAAATGATCCTCTTAGATTTTCATCTTCATTCAATGCTATAAATAATGGGAGAGGTAAGGATGAGATTACTGTCCCCTGTCTACATAAATCATTTTTGTTTTGAAGACCCTTTAAGGTCTATGAATTCTAGAATAATTGTTTCTTGCTTAGAATGACAGAAATTCTGAGTTAGAGACTAAAAATTTTTTAAAAACTCTAATTTACATTTTTGAAACTCTGTGTCTAAGATTAAATATCTATAAATGGTTTATAAGAGACATAGAGAACAAGAAATAAATACAAACCAGACACATTCTAATACAGTTGTAGATATGGCGCTATTAATTTTTTAAAAAATAACATTCAGAGAAATTCAAAGAAACAAAATTGTCCTTTCAAATAGATACATTTAGTAACAACAATGACTTTTGGATGGTGATAATAGCATACAGTTGAATTAAAAAATGCAAAATCAGAAGCTTCTGGGTGGCTCAGTTGGTTAAGCATCCGACTTTGGCTCAGGTCATGATCTCACAGCTTGTGATTTCGAGCCCACATCAGGCTCTGTGCTGACAGCTCGGAGCCTGGAGCCTGCTTCAGATTCTGTGTCTCCCTCTCTCTCTCTGCCCCTCCCCCACTCATGTTCTGTCTCTCTCTCTCTCTCTCAAAAATAAATAAACATTAAAAAAATTAAAAAACACAAAATCAGTTGGGAACTCAAAAAGGAATTTTAGGGGGCACCTGGGTGGCTCAGTCAGTTGAGCGTCCGACTTCAGCCCGGGTCACGATCTCGCGGTCCGTGAGTTCGAGCCCCGCGTCAGGCTCTGGGCTGATGGCTGAGAGCCTGGAGCCTGCTTCAGATTCTGTGTCTCCCTCTCTCTCTGCCCCTCCCCCGTTCATGCTCTGTCTCTCTCTGTCTCAAGAATAAATAAACGTTAAAAAAATTTTTTTTAAATAAAAAAAAGGAATTTTAGTTATAATTTAGTCAGAAATTAACAGAACTATTATAGAAACATATAAATGAAGTTATAGAAGTTATGTTATATAAACTATGCTATATCAAACCTTTATGACTTTGTGAGATCCAACAATTTCTCTTAATTTTTGATTAATATAAATCCACTGCAGACAATTAACATGGATTAGTAGAAATAACCCAGTGTGACACTTATCTAACTCCTTCCTCCACTGTGCTGGGAGTTCCAGATCTTTTCCAGCTGTTCTTATATAAACAAATACCAAAATATCTGCTTATTTCAAGCATTCTTTTTGAAACTTGCTTAAGTATGTAATCTCAATAAGGATTTGGATTTACATTTTCTAACCAGTCAGGGATTCAACATGAATGTGAATGATACTTGAATTTAAATTTATGAAATAAGTCACTACCACAGAAAAGCCACACAGTTTCTCTTGGAGGCAACTGCTCTTTTGGGAGAGGCTACCAGAAAAACAAAAACACAAAGTCAGCATGTGGCTCTTCCATTCCTAGGTAGCTAACTTCAGTAGACAACATCTACCAAATCTCCTATCTTTCGACCTTACTCCAACCCAAGTGGAGTAAACAGAGCATGAGATGTATCTCCAAACCTCCCTGCTCCAAGCCCCTGTGGTCAAAACCTCCAACTCTTCCCTCTTTACATAAGAGAAGTTTTGTGAGGGGGAAACTTCTGATTCCTTACTTGTCCAGAAATGTCTTTTGCCCTTACATTTAGATGTTCATTTTGTCACTTAGATAATTCTAGTTTCTACTCAGGGATGTAAAGACTACTTTGAATTGTTTTCTAGCAAATAATTTAACATTCAACACGGCAGATGTATGATGGAATCTGATTCTTCTCTTGTACATGAGGGATTTTTTTGGACTTTGGAAGCTTTGAGATTCTTTTTTATTTGTTTGGGATTCTAAAACTTTTTAAAAATTCATGCATAAGTGACATCTTTTTTCCCTCCCATAATCTAACTCTTTACGAAGTACTCTTTCTTCTGATTCTGGGCCCTATTCTGCTTCCCAGTTTGGAAAACCTATTAGATGAATGTTGAAGTTCTGGATCTAATGCACTTAATTTAACTTATGTTTCTTAGATTTTATCTCTTTGATTTAAAATATCAGATTCTGGAAGAATCCAGTAACCCGTTTTTCTAGCCCAATATATTCTTTTAAGTTTTAATTTAAATTCCTGTTAGTTAACATACAGTGTAAGTTTCAGGTGTACAGTTTAGTGATGCAACATTCCATGTTACACCAAGTGCTCTCGCCCAATATTTTGACCTTCAGCAGTGTCTACTCCCATATCTGAGCCTTTCACTTGGTTTCTACTTTAAGCCAGTTTTTCACTCCCAGGAATGTTGACTGTTTCTTCAGTCCTGCATTTCCTACAAATGAATCCTTCCTATTGTACTTCACATTTGTATTTTTAAAAATCTTTATATACATATTATTCTTCACTTTTTTATGTGAGAGAAATTTGAAAATTCAAGATAAGCAAAAATAACAGATAGAAACACCCATATTTGAGAGTCTCTTATGGTTTGGCTCTCTCCCTAACTCTTTTTTTCCTTCCCCTCCCCCATGGTCTTCTGTTAAGTTTCTCAGGATCCACATAAGAGTGAAACCATATGGTATCTGTCTTTCTCTGTATGACTTATTTCACTTAGCATAACACTCTCCAGTTCCATCCACGTTGCTACAAAAGGCCATATTTCATTCTTTCTCATTGCCAAGTAGTATCCCATTGTGTATATAAGCCACAATTTCTTTATCCATGATGGGAGGGTGGGGAGGATGAATGATGGGCATAGAGGAAGGCACCTGTTGAGATGAGCACTGGGTGTTGTATGGAAACCAATTTGACAATAAATTTCATATTAAAAAAAAACACCCATTTTGGGGGCGCCTGGATGACTCAGTAAGTTAAGCGGCCAACTTCGGCTCAGGCCATGATCTCACAGTTTGTGGGTTTAAGCCCTGCGTGGGACTTAAGCTCAGAGCTTGGAAACTGCTTCAAATTCTATGTCTCCCTCTCTCTCTCTCTCCCCCTCCCCTGTTCACACTCTGTCTCCCTCTGTCTCTCAGAAATGAATAAACATTTAAATATATATATAAAAAAGAAACACCCATATTTGTATCACTCAAAAATAAATACCACAGGATACCGTTTTTTGTGATTTCGATGTCTATCCTTTCATATTTCTTAAGCAAATAAGACCATACTGTTCACACTGTCTTAAAACTGCTTTTCGAAATGAATAATATCTTGTAGTGCTCACTTACCCTCCCTCCTCACCTTTCCCCTTAAAAACATGAACACTGCTATAGACATGATGCAATTCCCTTAAAATATTCTCCGCAGATTGACTTCCTCAAACAATTCTCTATTATTGGGAAAAAATGTCTTAATATATACATATGAATTTTTCACATTTATTTTCTAGCTTTGTTGGAAATGTATATTGATCTATTTACATTTGGGAACAGAATACACACACAAGCATATTCAGAAATCACAAAGTAAACAAGAGGTAAGTAGTATCTTTAACCCTCACTTTTTTTCTTTCAGCGTTCCCTTCTCATTCCCAAATACTTCAGACTTAACGTATTAGGTGGATGTCAGAGCTCAGTGCTCAGAGGCGAGGGCTGCCCTACATGATGGGAGAGGGCTTGAGGGGACGAGTAGGGAGTGAGAGATGGTGGGAAAGCAACCCTGAAAAGAACTGTAGAAAAATATATTGTAGGGGCACCTGGTGGCTCAGTCAGTTGAGCATCTGACTTCTGCTCAGGTCATGATCTCATGAGTTCAAGCCCAGCATCAGGCTTTGTGCTGACAGCTCAGAGCCTGGAGCTTGCTTCAGATTCTATGTCTCCATCTCTCTCTGACCCTCCCCTGCTCACACTCTTGTCTCTCGCTCTCAAAAATAAATAAACATTTTAAAAAAAATTTTTTTTAAAAAGAACATATTGTACTATAATCAAACAATGCCATATTATGCAGCAATAAAAAAAATTTTTTTAAATGTGCTGATACAACATGGTTGAATCTCCAAAAAAAAAAAAACATTTTGTTTATACAAAGAAGCCAAATGCTAAAGCAGACATGCTGTATGATTTTTTTTTATTGTTTTTGAAGTTTTAGGAAAGGCAATATTAAGCTATCATGATTCATATAAAAATACTGTTTGTTTTTCCTGGAATGAATTGGCTGACAGTAAAGATGAGGGAAATTTTCAGGAGACAAACATGTTCCGTATTTTGAGGGAAGTGGTAGTTCTATGAGTGTAAGCATTTGTAAGACTTCATTGGCATGTACATTTCAAATCCATACATTCCATTGCATGCAAGTTATATCTCCATAAATTTTATTTTTAAAGAGTCAAATGTACCTCACTGTCTCTAGAGAATATTTATTTAGAATCTTGGTATCCCTTTCACCTGACTGCTAGTGGCTTACATACTAATATTTACGCAATTGCTATTTGTGTCCCTAATTATCTGTAAACTTTGTGTGATATGAAAAAACATGACTTGGACTTGGAAAGAATGTGAAATGGAAAGAAACGCCTTTTGAGCACATTCTAGGTCTGGGACTAGTACAATTGTGTTATTATTTCCATGTTACTTTAGGGAGCCCTAAAGTTTTTGGATATACAGCCCTAAGTTCCTCAGAGTACAGAGCCCTCCATTTCCGACCTCTTGTTTTCCCCTGCACAGCTCAGCATGTGGTTTCCAGTGTCATTTGGGGTGTGATAGGAGGAAGGCTGTATTTGTGGTTCTTGTTCTCTTAATCAGTTAACTTTGTGAGTTAAACATTGGGATGACCAACATCCCTGAATATCACACAGGAAAGGGATTCTCCCTCCCTGAATAATGTGATTTCAGCCCTTTGCAGGTAGGAAGACGTGAGCATTTTTGACCAAAGCACACCTTAGACTTCCTATCATTTTATATCTTAGCCCAGTCCAAAGTCCCCTAGGGTTAATTCTATTACCTCTACTTTTCAAAGTAACAGGAAGAGCTGCAGGCAGGCTGTGACTTCCTCATTCGACTCCTTCTAGGGGAGGCATTCACCTGTCAGCGCCTCTTGGCAGCTCCATTTGCCGCCCTTCCTAAGTACATTTTCCAATCCAGGGATGGGTTGGAAACCTGCTGCTCCCAGCCCCTACAGCCACACCTTTGGATGCTGACCACAAGAACAACCAGGTACCAATTGTCTCTGGAGCTGGGCCTTGTAGTTGCGCTGAGGAGATCAGGAGTTTCCAGGAAGCCCCTGGCTCAATCTGGATGTGAGAAAGAAATGTGTGGTGATGTGGAGGTGAGTTTGTGGGAAATATGGATCCCAAAAACAAAAGGGCTTGAGCTCCAGGTCACATGGAGAGAAAACTCCTTTCTCTTTCTGGAGTTAAGCCACAAGTGTATTTGTGGTCAAACAAATAAATAAATGTATGAATGAATCAGTGAATAAATGCAAGAAGGAGGAAGTTAGATCGGCTAATAGGAGTGGACTAATTTTGTGTCTGCTTTCATTTCTCAAAATGAACTCAAGGTTTTCAATTTCAAGAGAGCTTTGGTGAGAGGATGAGTCCATAGATAAACAAGAGAACCCCCAGGGCACAAGAGAATGGTTTATAGTTTCTCTGCTGGAGAAACAGTTGGTTTTCAGAAAGAAGAGAGGGAAGGAAAACCCATTGGGGAGGGGTTGGAATTGGTAGTGGTCTGTCAGGAATAACAGCCAAAAAACTGTGTATGAAAGTAAATCTTTGAACAGGGGATTTTTTTTTTCCTAAAAGCCTTCTTCCTGCTAACTTACTCACCAGCTTCTCCTACAGAGTACTTCTTCCTTGTCAGAGTGAATATTTTGTGCTTTTCCTTTCTGTTCTGAAGAAGATGGTGGGCTCTCCTGGCTATTGTGCTGGCTTCCTCCTTCCTGTCCTCCTTCTCCAGGTGTCTACATGGTACTCAACAGGTCAGTGTTCTCCCTCAGGCTTTTTATTTATTGGCTTGTTTTCAATGGCTCTTCTCAGATGATGAAAATACTTGGTCATTCATCAGTCGCCAGTGTATCTCTTCTCAAAGGCAGTCAATATTGGGGGAAAACCGTGACTGTTCACACTAACAGAATGCTGGAAAGTTCTGGCCAAGAATGGGAGTGATCTTTGTATCAACACCCCTTATTACTTTAGGTAGACCTTAAAAAACTCATAGCTATGTTTGTCTAAATCTTTATTGAGTATGGGTGATTTTAGCCTGCTTAATTTTGATGTAATTATCAGTTAAAAACATACTTTATAATGTTCACACTGCCAAGAAAACCCAAGTCTGAGCATAAAGAATTTGGACTCAGGATCTCTGGGCTCTATCTGGTTATGACGCTTGACAAAAAATTTTTTTTCTGGGACTTGAGTCCTTCCATAAATACAAAGGTCCCTCAGGAAGTTTTCAGACTCGAGGTTTATAGACAAACCAGGCATGAGTTTACAATAATGATATTTTTTTGTTAACATCTCTTTAATTTGATGTCAGTTAGGCAGGGAGTATTAAAATGTTTCATTTCTATACATGTTGATTCAGCAATTTTACAAGAATTTATCAAAAAGAAAAGCTCTTCCTTGTGTATATGTATATATGTATTAAATGGGGGAACCTGGGTGGCTCAATGGGTTAAGCAACTGACTCTTGATTTCTTCTCAGGTCATGATCTCACAGTGTGGAACTGGAGCCCCAAGTCAGGCTCCATGCTGAATGTGAAGCCTGCTTGGGATTCTTTCTCTCCCTCTCTCTCTGCCCTCCTGCTTGTGTGTGCATATGTGTGCATGGGCACACATGCTCTCTCTCAAAAAAAAAAAAAAATCTTTTTATTTTTTTTTATTTTTTTTTTTCAACGTTTATTTTATTTTTGGGACAGAGACAGAGCATGAACGGGGGAGGGGCAGAGAGAGAGGGAGACACAGAATCGGAAACAGGCTCCAGGCTCTGAGCCATCAGCCCAGAGCCCGACGCGGGGCTCGAACTCACGGACCGCGAGATCGTGACCTGGCTAAAGTCGGACGCTTAACCGACTGCGCCACCCAGGCGCCCCCCCAAAAAAAAAAATCTTAAAAAAAGAAAAATACAGTTGGGGCTTTTGTCACCCCTTCACTCATTCCCCCAATCTGTCTGATTTTCATGCAGTGTCCGGGTTTTCTGTAAAGGGACCGGTTGAGCCAACCGTGGTTCTGCTAGGGACAGATGCCACTCTGCCTTGCCAGCTGTCCCCTGAGCAAAGTGCAACCCACATGCACATCCGGTGGTACCGAGCCCAACTCTCCCCTGCTGTGCTTGTGTACCAGAATGGACAGGAACAAAGTGGGGAGCAAATGCTGGAATACCGTGGCAGGACAGAGTTGGTGAGGGACTCCATCAGCAAAGGGGGTGTGGCCCTGCTGATCCAACATGTCCGTGCTTCTGATCATGGCCAGTACCGGTGTCATTTTAAGGATGGTCACAGTTCCCAAGAAGCCGTTGTGGAGCTGCATGTTATAGGTATGTCAACTTGGCACAGAAGTGTGCTTCATGGTGTAAAGCAAAGAGAAAAATGAGGACATTTGGATTCCTAACGTGGCATTTCTTATGATCTTCCATATATTGATATTGATATGCTAATTTACCTTGCAAGATATCAGTTTCCTAAACTATATAGTGAGGATATGACTACATACTCTATTCACTTTTAAACACCAAAAAGGGCAATATTTTTAGGGTTGTTTTGGTATCCTAAAAGGCTCCAGAAAATAAACTAATATTAATTCAGATTGGTACTGACACCCTCAGACATTAGTAGAATTTTATACATTCAGTAGGAAAAGACAATTTATAGAATTAAACTCCTTCTATAGCTTTAATTGTACCTGTTTTTTCCTATCCGTGAAATGACCCCAAAGCTTTCTTAGTCCAAATATAGTGCAAAGGCATCAAGTTGATTTCAAAAAGGAATCACAGTTTGGCCTAACACTCACTACAAGAGGTTTCTTGACCTCTGAGCTTCAGTTTGCTCATCAGTCTAGTGAGGGCACTTTGGCCTTCAGCCTTAGGGGCTTCTAAACCCCAAGGACCACAGGCCTTAGGAACATGCCTTCTCTCCTTAGGGTTGGGCTCTGTGCCTCATGTTCACATGATGGGGCCTGAGGATGGTGGGATACGAGTACTGTGCTCTGCAGAAGGCTGGTTCCCAAAACCCAGGGTACAATGGAGTGACATGATGGGTGTGAAGTTACAGTCTCTCACTGAGTCTCACACCCAAGATGAAGATGGGCTCTTCCATGTGGAAGCATCTCTTGTGGTCACAGATAGCTCTCTGGGCAATGTGACCTGTTCCATCCAGAATCCCCTCTCTGGTCAGGAGAAAGTGTCAGCCATCTACCTCCCAGGTGAGTGAGGCACAAACCCCAAGGCAGAGCAGGGGTGTGGGGAGGGGAGGGAGGGGGGAAACAGAGTTGAGGGAGCCCTGGAGAGAGGGCAGGATAGCCTCTAGGCTAGTCTCACTGTGTCTTCACATGCCTGTGTCAGAGCCCTTCTTCCCCAGGATGTCTCCATGGAAGGCAGCCCTGGTTGGGACAGTCCCTACGCTAGTGCTCCTCCTCACTGGGATCAGCTACATTGGCTGGAGAGAACACCAAGCCAAAGAAAGAGAAGTAAATAAAAGGAAGAAAGAATCTCAGGAAAGAGATCAGATGGAGAATGAAAAGGAATTGGCACTTAAGGCGAAAGGTAAATTGGAACAGCAGGACAAATCAGATGTTCATGGAACAGCTGGGGGTATAGGATGTATAATGTACATGGGAAAATAAAAGGTTGCCAAGGGACCCCAGGAAAAATAGAGGGTACCAAGAATTCCATAAAGCTGGGAATCCTATGGAAAGGAGAAAACCATGTGGGAAGCTTGGAGATTTGTGGGCAGTGATCATCAGGCCTCTAAGGTGGGGCTCCTCAAACCACACCATGCCCTTCATGCATCTGTACCCAACCTATGCTGCTGTTTCTCCTTGTGTAAATGTCTTCCCCCATCTTCTCCTCCTATTCTTCCTTCGAGAATAAGCTTCTGAAGAACCTAAAAATTCCTACCTTCTCATGAAGCATAGGCCCTCCTTCCTCAGTGACCCCATGACATTTCCCATGTAACTTTTCTTAGCACTTGTCATTTTTAGATTGTCATTTCCTAGCACTTGTCAAGATTAGATTGCTAATCCTTCTCACCTACTTAACTATGGACCCTTAAGGGAAGGCCATATGGAATTGATTCAGCTACTCCATGAATTCAAGAGCAGCTAAAACCCAGTTTGATGGATTTTTTATCTCTTCTTTCAGAGAACCTCAAGAAAGAACTTGGTGAGTCTTGCTTCTTCTCATGCCCTGTATAGAATTTGCTCCCCTGTTGACATCTGTTCTGGGTCTCTCACTGAATGTCATTTCTTTCAGAACAGCGAAAGGCACTATACCATGCAGGTAAGCAACTGGGTTTCCCACACCACTCAATGTTTTGATGTCCAACACTTTCTCAGCTCCCTCTCCTCAGAGAGAAAGACTGAAAGATTTAATAGTGATTGGTGGAAAAAATTAAGGGGGAAGGAGAAGAATGTGAGGCTCTGGATGTCTTGGCTTGCCTTAACTGGATTTGTTCTGTTTTAGTTTGGAAGAAGGCCCTGCTGTATCCTGGTAAGTAACTCTCTGACTTAGCTCTTTCCATGAGCCTCTGATATTCTGAGTATAATAAGCGGAGACATAAACACACACAAGCACACATCCACTTGCAAGATGTGAAGATTTATTTGGTACCAATCTATAGTATTTTGTATTTGGGAGCTCAAATATTCAATTATTTTTCAGAGCTAAAGAGAAATAACTGTTGACTGGTAAATTCCACATGAATAGAGTAGGACTTGACATAAATTGTTAACCTATCCACAATGGAGAAGGAAGAGAAAGAATTCAGAGCGATTTTGATGAGACTTAAGAAGAATAAAGAATATCCTATATGATATCAGCACTCCTATACTGTGAATAAAGCTCAAAAGAGAAGATAATGTTACATTTCACATTTGGAGAAAAAGATATTATGATTTTATTTATTTTACCTATAAATAAAGAAAGTAAAGTTCAGTACACAAGAACAAGGTTTAAGTTTGAAAACAATCTCTCAAAATATTTGAATATTATTTGTAAAAATATGTTTATCTGGTAGTAGAGGGAATTGGCTATTTTATATCTTCTAATACCTGTGCCCATGTACTGTATGTGTTTAAGAGAGTGTGTGTGCATATGTAATACAGAGTTAGACCTCAAAAGCATACTAGGTCATTCCTTAAACATACAGTTGTGCAATTTTTATATGCCAGATATTGTGTTAGATGTTGGTGCATAGCCATGATCTCTGACCATTTAGAACTTGAATGGTCTTAAACTTGGGGTGGGAGGGATGAGTAAGCTAAGAACCGGGCAAATGCACACAGTCTGGTAAATGCTTTGGTAAGAGAAGATCAAGAAGCCCCTCTCAAAGGCTAAAGTCAGGTAAGCAGTTTCTATTAAAAGCTTTCTTTCCGGAACTGCTTTAACATGTTCCATGATTCTACAAGAGAGAGCAAAGTATAGTATAGTAAGGATGAGGATATGTGGGTTTTAGTTCCAAATCTATCAGTTAATTACAGCTGAGGAATTCAGTCATTTTTGCTTTCTTTACTTCAGCCTCCTTATTTCTAAGATGAAGAGATTGGAATACATGATCACAGATGTCCTTCTTGACTCACATATTCATTGATTCTGTATATAGAGTACTACCCTTCTTAGAAGAGGGCAGGTCAGTGAGAGACCATCAAGAATTATGGATAAGTTCTTATCTGCCTATTGCCCCAAGACACTAAGAGAATATCCAATCTTTAAATAAAATCATAAATCTTATCATAAGAGAAGTGGCCCCAGGCAGAAGCAGATGTAGTTCTATCCCCCATGAGAAATCTGTCTCTGGAGAAAAATATTAAAAATCTGATTACAAGTATCCAAATAAAAGAGCTTAGTTTAAAAACCTTGGTCATAAATTTAACTCTACTCTGAAGTGGTCATAGGCTGGGAAAACCCTAAAACAAACAAAACAAAACAAAACAAAACAAAACAAAACAAAATAAAATATACAATGACATTTTATAACTTTCATCCTCAGTGAGGAGTGCCACAAAAGTCTTAGGTGCCTAGGACACTAGACCCTGCCCCAAGTGTTCTCCAGACTTATTTCTGCAGCATCAGCTCAATTGAGGGGATTGTTTCTAATCTGAGACAGCAGGCAGGAAGTACATCCTTTGTCTTGTAGTTTCTGGACACTGCCGTTGTTCAAGGGGCTCAGCAGAGGACGGAAAGAGAGCTGAGAAGAGACAGCAATGATCCAGGAGAGGAAGTGTGTATCTCATCTTCATTCTGTGGGTATGCTTCCATCACAGTCTCAATTTGTATTGCTCTTTTACAGACTGGAGGAAGGAACAGTTCCAGCCTGGTGAGTGGCTCTTTGTTTATTTTTCTGACTCGTTTCCAACCTACCTGAGGGTACCCTGTTTTTCCCTCCTAACATTACCTCCTAGTTGAAAAGACAGAAGTACGATTATTCTGGTAAAGAGAAGCAAGAACATGAAGATCATTAACTGTTGGCCTGAACTGAAAATTGCTGCTGGGATTAGCTACTCTGGTTGCATTTCTGCTTTCATATAATGGCCACGCTTTCTCATCTCTGTGTGTGTATGTGTGTGTGGTGGGGGTTCCACTTGGTTCTGAACAGAAATTGTAGCCCCTATTGAGGAGATCCCCAACTGAGTAACAAGTGCTCAAAATGGTGAGAGTAACTTGATTCTTCTTTTTAAAGAGGTCAGCTGACATGGAGTCTGTTACTAATTGAAGAACATCGTTCTAATTTGTAAAGAACATGGAAAAACACTATTCTCAAATAAACACTACAAGTCTCAGCTCATTTTGGCACTCTGCCAAGACATTGATAATAACATAGGTAATATAAGAAGAGATAAGTAAATTGCACCCAAGGTGAGAGCACTCCACAGCTCTACCTCCCCCAGTACACACACATTCAGGGGATAGGTGTTCTTTCACTACTTGATCCTGTTTTTCCAAGGTTTCGCTTGCACAACTTTCTGAAATATATAATGTTGGCCCTTCCCTTTCCTTTTCTTTACCCTCAGCCACTGTGACTGTAAATCAGGAAATCTTTCATCAGAATAATTCTGACCCAGAGAGAAAAGAGAACTTCAAAGAGGAAACACACGATCTATCTCTCAGGGATAAGCAAGGAGACTGCAACCTTATCACATTGAATCAGCAAGACTTCACCTCAGGAAAACATTACTGGGAAGTGGATGTTAAGGACGCTGATGAGTGGACTCTAGGCATTTATGAGAATCCCACAGACAGCAGGGAGTTATCCAAAGATCTACAAAACAAGAAATTCAGAGTCTTAGAGAAGAAAGGATGTGAATACAGGGCTCTCACCTATTGCCTCCAAAACATTTCTCTGCAAGAGTGTCTCTTGATAAAAAAGTGTCCACAAAAGATTGCGATTTTTTTGGATTATGAGGATAATGACATTTCTTTCTATGACATGACTGAGGGTACCCACATCTTCTCCTTCACCCAGGCAACTTTCTCTGGGTCACTCTATCCTTACTTCAACCTTAAATCCATGAAGCTCTCCTTATAGGTGTAATATTAAGTGACTTAGAGGAAGAACCCATACTGTGAGGATAATAGCCCATTCTCTGTAAACTCTAGATTGCTAGGGTGTTTTTTTTTTTAAGTTTGTTTATTTATTTTGAGAGAGAGAGAGAGAGAGAGAGTGGGAGAGGGGGATAGAGAGAGGGAGAGAGAGAGAGAATTTCAAACAGGCTCCACACTGTCAATGCAGAGCCTGATGCAGGGCTTGACTTCACGAAGCATGTGAGTGCCAGAAGACCATGACCTGAGCCAAAGTTAGATGCTTAATCGACTGAGCCACCCAGATTACAGTTCTGATGGGTGACCTCAGGCTCACTGATTATGAGGCCTCTTGGCCTGAAGGTCCATGAGTCCCTGTGACCAGAGTTTCTGACTATATCCAGCAGTGTTTCTGAATTGCAGAGAAACTTTTTGTTGTAGTTGTTATTGTTATAAGTGCTGTTTATTGCTTTATATTTAATATATCACAGACTGATAATTTTCTAAAACAAATTATTGTAAAAATGAAGTCAATAAAAAACATGCATACAATTACAAGTTGTAATTATTGTTAGATTCAACATTCTTAAAATTTCTCTGTCAATTTACTCTAAATGCTAGAAATACTCTATTTCTATATTTATCTTGTAAAGAAGTGGTAAGAAACAGTTAATATAGTTCACTGGTGTGTGAACCATAATTTAAGTAGCACTTCTAAAGCAGTATTCACAGGAGTAAAAGTTAGATAAACCTCTTCACATTTCCCATTGCAACACTGAATAAAAGTGACAAAATAGTGCTATTTTCAAATGCTGAAGGAGAAAAGTTAAATTATAATTTGATGCAAGCTAAGCTATATCTTAAATGTGAGGATAATTTGAGGAAAGAAAAAATAAATATCAATCACAATCCAATTCTAACAAATGTGATGATGTCAACATGATAGCAGTCTGGGAAAACTAATGCAGTGAGAGCATATTGAAGTATTTATCTTATTAAAGAAAGAGAGAGACATTTTATTACTGCTTTGCCCAAGATATTAATAAGGGAAATAACTATATATTTTGGGGAATTCTAAGTATAGACACCAGCAGAGGTGAGGAAAAGGCCTTCTTCTCCTTCCAATCAAAACTGTCATATTAAAATGAAATGACTAGAGGAAACAATAATTAGTGTTTAAATAGGGTAAGAAGAGAATGTGCTCCTGTGAACTATACTGAAAACCCTGGTAAATTCTGTGGATATGGAGTAGAGTACCCAGAAGAGTCTTGCCCCAGTGGCAGGGAATAATTAGACCTAAACTGATCCAATACTGATGAACAAACCTTAAAAGCAAAGCTCAACAGGATCAAATTATTTACAAGTATCTAACTTTATTCCAGAGCAGAGTTCAAGTTAAAATTCACAGCCAATCAAAAATTACGAGGCTTGGAAAGAAGCAGGAAATCCAACTCATAATGAACAGAAAATCAATAAATTAAAAGTGACATGGAACTGATGAAAGTATTAGAGATTTAACAGACAAGGAGAGGGGCGCCTGGGTGGCTCAGTCGGCTAAGTGGCCGACTTCAGCTCAGGTCACGATCTCGCAGTTCGTGGGTTCGAGCCCCGTGTCGGGCTCTGTGCTGACAGCTCAGAGCCAGGAGCCTGTTTCAGATTCTGTGTCTCCCTCTCTCTCTGACCCACCCCGTTCATACTCTATCTCTCTCTGTCTTAAAAATAAATAAACGTTAAAAAAATTAAAAAAAAATAGACAAGGAGATTAAAACAGATGTTGTAACTATATTCCAGATATTTAAAAAGTTCACTGTATTCTAGATATTCAAAAAGTTCACTAGAAATATGCATTTAAAAGAAAGACCCAAATTCAAATTCTTTAGTTGGAAAAGACCAGGAATGAGATGAAAATTACATTGGCTATGACTGGCAGCAGATTAACAGTTACAGAAATAAATGATTAGTGAACTTGAATAAATAAAAATGGAAACGATCCAAAATAAACCGCACATTTTTTTTTATTTATATATGAAATTTATTGTCAAATTGGTTTCCATACAACACCCAGTGCTCATCCCAAAAGGTGCCCTCCTCAATACCCATCACCCACCCTCTCCTCCCTCCCACCCCCCATCAACCCTCAGTTTGCTCTCAGTTCTCAACAGTCTCTTATGCTTTGGCTCTCTCCCACTCTAACCTCTTTTTTTTTTTTTTTTTCTCCTTCCCCTCCCCCATGGGTTCCTGTTAAGTTTCTCAGGATCCACATAAGAGTGAAACCATATGGTATCTGTCTTTCTCTGTATGGCTTATTTCACTTAGCATCACACTCTCCAGTTCCATCCACGTTGCTACAAAAGGCCATATTTCATTTTTTCTCATTGCCATGTAGTATTCCATAGTGTATATAAACCACAATTTCTTTATCCATTCATCAGTTGATGGACATTTAGGCTCTTTCCATAATTTGGCTATTGTTGAGAGTGCTGCTATGAACATTGGGGTACAAGTGCCCCTATGCATCAGTACTCCTGTGTCCCTTGGATAAATTCCTAGCAGTGCTATTGCTGGGTCATAGGGTAGGTCTATTTTTAATTTTCTGAGGAACCTCCACACTGCTTCCCAGAGCGGCTGCACCAATTTGCATTCCCACCAACAGTGCAAGAGGGTTCCCGTTTCTCCACATCCTCTCCAGCATCTATAGTCTCCTGATTTGTTCATTTTGGCCACTCTGACTGGCGTGAGGTGATATCTGAGTGTGGTTTTGATTTGTATTTCCCTGATAAGGAGCGACGCTGAACATCTTTTCATGTGCCTGTTGGCCATCCGGATGTCTTCTTTAGAGAAGTGTCTATTCATGTTTTCTGCCCATTTCTTTACTGGGTTATTTGCTTTTCGGGTGCCGCACATTTTTTTTAAAGTATTTTTTAAATAGTATCAGTGAGTTGTGGGAAAACTTTAAAGGGCCCAATACAAAGGCAATTGAAGTTTTTGAAAAGAAGAGAAGGGAGGACAGAAAAAGGATTTGAGAAAATAAGAGCCAAATATATATTCCAAATTTGATCATTATAAACTCCAGATCTAAAAAGCTGTCCTAGTCTGTTTGGGCTGCTATAACAAAAATACCACAGACTCAGTGACATACAAACTACAGAAATTCATTTTTCATGATTCTGGAGGCTGAGAATTCCAAGATCAAGGTGCCTTTAGCTTTGGTGTCTAGTGAGAGCTAGTTGCCTGGTTTGTAGATGGTTGTCTTCTCACTGTGTCTTCACATGGTTGAAGGGATTATGGAGCTTTGTGGGGTCTCCTTTTTAAGGACACTAATGCCATTCATAAAGGCTCCACTCTCATGTTTTAATTGCTTACCAAAGGTGGAAATACTAAACACCATCATCACTTTGGGGATTAGGCTTCAACCTATGTATTTTGGGAGAACATAAACATTCATTCCATAGCAAATTTCAATGAACTCAAAGAACAAAAATACAGAGAATACATAGCATATGCAAATCAAATTGCGTAAAATCAGAGATTTAAAGATGCCAAAGCAAAAAAATTAAATTATGTTCAGAAAAACAAAGATAAAGATGACAACATATTTCTCATTGTAAACAGTGTAAGTGAGAAACATGGAAAAAATATATATCATCAGAATAGCATTTAATACCCAGTGAAAAATTTTCAAAAGCAAATGTGAAATAAAGATGTTTTCATTCATAGACAAGCAAAAAAAAGCAATCATCACCAGCAGACCCACACTACAAGAATGGTAAAAGCAGTCCCTTTAAACAGAAGGAAAAATGGTAACCAATGGAAATTTGTATCTATACAAAGGAATTAAGAGCACCGGAAATGGTATCTGTATAAGGAATTCTAAAATGATTTCTTTTTCTTGTTTAAAAGTTTTAAAAGATAAGAGACACTTTAAACAAAAATAATAACAATGAAGAATGGGATTTATAACAGAAGAAAAAATTTAATGTATGACAACAAGAGCACAAAAACCAGGAGGGAGGACATGAAAAAATACTGCTGTAAGTCTCCTACTAGACATGAAGTAGTATTAACAGCATTTGAGGTTAGAACGCTGTAAGTTAAAAGTGAATGCTATAAACTGTGAACATTCACTAAAATAACAAAAAATTACAGTTATTAAGCCAGAAATGGAAATAAAATGAATCATTAAAAAATAATCAGCTTGGGGCACCTGGGTGGCTCAGTTGGTTAAACATAGGACTCTTAGTTTTGGCTCAGGTCATGATCTCACAGTCTGTGAGTTTGGGCCCCATATCACGCTCCATGCTGACAGCAAGGGACCTGCTTGGGATTCTGTCTCTCTCCATCTCTCTCTGCCCATCCCCTGCTCACGCGCTCATGCTCTCTCTCTCTCAAAATAAAATTAAAGATGTGGTTTATATATATAATGGAATACTACTTGGCAAAAAGAAAGAATGAAATCCTGCCATTTGCAGCAACGTGGATGGAACTGGAGGGTATTATGCTAAGTGAAACAAGTCAGTCAGAGAAATACAAATATCATATGTTTCCATTCATATGCAGAACTTGAGAAACTTAACAAAAGACCGTGGGGGAAGGAAGGGGGAAAAATAGTTACAAACAGAGGGAAGGAAGCAAACCATAAGAGACTGTTAAATACAGAAAACAAACTGAGGATTGATGAGGGGTAGGGGAGAGGGGGAAATGGGTGATGGGCATTGAGGAGGGCACTTGTTGGGATGAGCACTGAGTGTTGTATGTAAGCGATGAATCGTGGGAATCTACCCCCAAAACCAAGAGCACACTATACACACTGTATGTTAGCCAATTTGGCAATAAATTATATTAATTTTTTTAAATAATTAGCTAACTCAAACAGAAAGAGGAAAAAGTTAATGTAGTATAGATAGAACAAATAGAAAATAAACAAATGATAGACTTGAACCATATCAATAATGACATTAAATACAAAGGCAGATTGTTGGGTTGGTTAAGAAAGTAAATCCCTGGGGCACCTCAGTGAATCAGTTGGTTGGGCGTCCGACTACGGCTTGGGTCATGATCTTACAGTTCGTGAATTTGAGCCCTGTGTCAGGCTCTGTGATGACAGCTCAGAGCCTGGAGCCTGCTTCAGATTCTGTGTCTCCCTCTCTCTCTGCCCCTCCCCTGCCAATGCTCTGTCTCCCTCTGTCTCTCAAAAATGAATAAACATTAAAAAAAAATTTTTTAAAAAAAGAAAAGAAATACCCAAATATACGCTGACCACAAGAAAAATAAATAGAAAAACACAAATAGGTTAAAATTAAAAGGATGGGAAAAGACATATTTTACAAATATTAATGAAAAGATAGCTGGAATGGCTCTATTAACATTAAAGTAGATTACAGAACAAAGAAAGAATGTTATCCAGAATAAAGAAGGTCATTCTATAACAATAAAGGGATCAATTCATCAAGAGAACATTACAATACTAAATGTTTAGATAACAATAATCATTTGCAGTAAACATAAACAATACATGATGAATATTATCTAACAGTCATTTAAATTTTATAAATAAA